CGAGTGTGGTATACTCTGAAGTTTCCATAGGAAACTAGGACCTTAAATCTTGCCTTACTGTCTTCAGAATGACTTTTCTATCCGTTCTTTCAATGCAGTTTAAGTATGATTACACCAGTAAGTGTTCTCTGTGATTCTTGGTGCCAGCCCGGAACATCTCAGACTTTCTCCTGCCTCTTCTTTCCCAATCAAGATACTTGGACTTCCAAGAGGCAGTAGCGGTCAATGTTTTTAATTAGAGGCAAACAGCAACTTCATTGTTTTAGATTTTTTTCCCCCCCTCTTCGTCTTTGGTCTCCCATGAAGTCCGTGACTTCAATTTTCTCCTGATAGGCCCAACAGGCAGTGAAACCTTTTCTCCATTTCCCCCTCTTTCTCTAACTTGGGAAGTCGTTTTCTTGGTAACTCGTGCAGTATTGTATCGGAGGCCTCAAAAAATGCTGGCTGCTTTAACAGAATTTAGATAGTTAAACAAATGTTTGCAGTTAGCAGTGACCAATTGTAAACCTGTCCTGTGCCGACCCCAGAGTTTGATCCCATTCAATTCCTTTGGCTTTGTTTATAGAGTTAAGTAGATTTAGAAAGCAAGCGTCTATTCATGACGCAACCTGATCTAGCTTCTATGAGATCATGTGAAATGCCTGGAGCAAAGTGAATAATAAATATAACTCAGCAAGACTGATGTTCGTTCTTTTGCCAATGGAGCCAGTGGCCTATTTTCATACTAGTGTAGGAGAGAACCTGGCAAACAGAAGAGGGAGGCCTCACATTTTCTGGCAAACGTGTATGGAGTAAGCATTCACAAGGGAGACTAAGTCAGTTGGTTGCCACAGGTAAGTTAGAAAGTCAGCTGATGTATATAGTTCAGGAGAATGGGGTAAGAATGGTGAAATTCAACTTTGTAGTAGGTCTGTCTCCTGGCATCACTTCTCTTCTAACCTCTGCTAAGAGATCTTGTGGGTTGTCACATCTGCCTAGTAGATCCTGTGGGTGAACAGAGTCTAGTTCACAGCACAGTGTAAACATTTTTAAGATTCACTGACTGGGAAACTGTAAATTCTCTCTGTTTTGGGGAGTAAGAGACTTTTATTAAATCACACTTTTTCGCATGTCAGTATGCAACAGCAGTCAGTCACTCGCATGGAATATCCAGCACTTGCATTTGAATTTTCAAGCTGCACACTCGGGAGAAGAATATTTAAAATCCATCTATTTGATAATGGGTTCAACTAAGCACAGGTATTTGAGATCAGAGATGTACACACACCAGCATCAGAGGAAACCCAGTTCTCTCCCACTATTTGCCTCATACTTGTTGATCATTTTTCCCAGTATATTAGCTATGATACAGTTTTAAAATAGAAGATTCCTGAGACCAGTTATACATTACTTCAGTACTTCTATTGCATTTCAATTACATTCACTGAGAACCACAGAAAAAGAGACCTAGAGAAACGAGAACCCCAGATTTGTATTTGAGGCAGACCACACTGTTTTTATAATTGGGCAGAGCAGTAGGCAGTTCTCTGGCTCCAGAAGTTAGGGTTTGAACTGGTAGGGAGTGGCATCTGCTTACCAGAATGTGAAGTAGGAACAGGATCACTCCATTCTCTTAACTGTACAGTCTCTTTGAGACTGTTCCTCATCTACAGTGTCCATCTACAGCATCTGTAAATTAGCATTTTTTGTATTAGACATTTCCAAATTTTTTTAAAGTTTTGATCTTGTTAAATTATCCCACCTTTTGTTCGTGACCATCTTTTTAACCTTTATACTTTTGGTTCCCCTGTCCCACCACACTAAAAAGTGTTCTTCTCAGTTGCTGCATGTTGGTAAGCTTTTCCACATCAGGCAAGACGACTCTACAAAATCATTCTTTTTCATAGATTTGAATCAACAAAAAAATTCCAATCAGTGCCTTGAATAATGAAAATTAATCAGAGCAGAAGTTAATTTTATTTTATTAGCTAATTTTTTGGCAATTATTTGTGGTCTAACATATTTTATTTGCAGTGCTCTGCTTTCAACCATTAATAGTGTTTCTAACGAGTTTTAGAGTTCGCTCTTGCTCAGTGTTTGTTTAACACAATAGTGACACCCTCTGGCTTGGTGGGTGCTGGTTGCACAGGGTTGAAACACAAACCAAAGTACACCATGAAAAATATTTTCAGTACTTCCCTGTGTTTTTTTGTGCTTCAGTGAAGCATCACTGAATATTAAGCTGCATCATCAGCTGCTAAGTTCTCTAGCATACTGGATTATTGGAAAATATGGTAAAAGAGCAGAGAATATTCCAGTAGTTGGCAGCATGATCCAGATGCTGAGAAAAGCCAAGCACTAAGAGTTGCTATTGCATTTAATCGGCACAAAATCTGACTATACAAAACAAGGTTATCCAATACTGAAAAGTCGTTATGTGATCTGCTGTTCCTGAACAAACTGAGAATAAGGCGTATGCCATATACTAGTCCGACCCTCACTCACTGTTCAACCCACAGTCACAGAAAAATTAGTTCTATTTAAGGACAAGACAGTGGATTTAATGCCAAGTTGTTTTCTTTCTCAGATTTATCTCATCTTGATAAAGTTAATATTTAGAAAGTTTATTTTTGAGCCTTGACTTAAAGTGAGAATGGTTTTGGTCCCAGTCTGACACAGTTACAGTGGAGGAGTGGAAACTTCCCGGAATGGACGGCCCTACAAGCCCTGGAAGCTGTGCCTTTGCTGTGCAATGGACCTGCTCTTTGAAAAGGGGAGAGGACATGGGTGGAGCTTAGAGTAGCGGCAGATGCTCCCACCTCTCTAATCAAATTACAGAAGAAGACATCTGTCTGCAAATGCCTTCGTGTGCACTCCTCTCTTGCCCCCAGACTGCTCTGCTTTCCTCCCTTTCTCTGTCCTGCTCCTCGTAAAATGAGCAAGACTGGTTACAAGCCAGAGTCCAGCACAGCATGAAGAAGGGCACTGTCTATTATTTACCTACAGTCTGATTCTGCAGAGTTGCTGGACATTTTCATTTCTGTTCATGTGAACAGAAGGTAAATGCATTCCACATATGACTGGTAAGTCCACATAGCTTGAAACATAGGGTATTGTCCTAATTGAAGGCAATAACTGGACTTCTTTTGACTTTATCGATATTGAGAAACAAGACAGAATTCACTCTAAGGGCATGAACCAGATTTTAAAAATTTATTTTCAACTAAGGCTCCTTTAAAACGTGCTTTTAGACAATTAAGTGCTCAGGGTACTCTAAAAATCAGGTGCTCTTTGGTGTCTCAGGGAACCAAAAAAAAGTAATTCTGAATAACCTTCATCACTGCCTTTTTCCAAACCGTATTAAATGCTTTGCTGCGTGATTCTGAAGTATTTGCAATCTTAGGAAGCATACTTAATTAAAAAAAATATAGTCTTGTTTTGTCAAAAGTCAGTTTCTTACTGCAGGTCAAGCCCAGGATATGCTAAAATAACAGACCGTAGTCTTGGCATGGGTAGTTCCTGACCTAGACAATTAACAAGGCATTGAAATCCTAAAGGAATTTATTGGCATCAGATGGCAGAGCAGGCATAATATTCTGTTCATTTTAACTGAGCTAATTTGTCATTTCCACATGAGCATGACTACCTTCATCCTCTTTATTTGTACAGCTGTCCTGAGACTGTAATGCTGTGGTAGTCACATTGGATGGGCACAAATAATAGATGTGATAATAGATGTTATGACATGGTATCAGTTTGGTCTTAACAAAGCTCCCAGTCATTATCAGTCTTTGAGCTGAAAGAAAGAGAGACAATCCACCAGCTTCACATGGCATGCTAGAGTTGTATCAGCTGTCAAACCCATTGTGAATTCGGGATTCAGTGGCTCTGGTTTATGACTTCACTACCTCCTACTGAAGACATAAACCATGGAGTCAATTAAATTCACAGGGTAGCAACTAATGAAGACATTTTATCAGCCTAAAGGAATACATGTCCTGGAAGTGTTTATTAGTTAATTATGGATAATTACCATAGAATGCATACACAGTCTCAGCTTTTTTTCTGACTGCTGTCAAAATCATGTTTCTTCAACTGTCCAGATGACATATAACATGACCAGAAATTTTTCTCTTTGAACTACTGAATGCAGAACATGTACACTATGAGTTGAAAATACTTAAGTTGCTGCAGAAACTTGTCAACAGAATGCATTGTTTAGACAAAGGCATTAGAGCATTAGTGAGAAATATGCTGGTGAAGAATGTTGCATTTTTCATGGTAACAGCTTGTTCGGTCTACTAAAAAAATGTACCTCTTCGAGTAGATTGAATAGTTTCAACACTTGTATTTTACTGTGTTATTAGTCTCATTCATTTCACTTTTATTATACTCAAAATTATGCTTTAATTAAAATGGTTATTCCATCTTTTTTCTGTTAACAAGTACTTAAAAGGGTGTAATAGCTGCTTTAAGAGTACCTCAATTAATAAATCGAGTTTTAAACAGAGGATGTGCAAGGCCCTGCCAATAGACAGGCTGCAATTATTCATGCAAGCAAATAATCAAATTAAACACCCAGAATCCTGACTGTCCATTCATTGTTAACAAGGATGCAGAATCAGCAGATTTTAATACTAGTAGCCCTCAATTTGCATAATATTTTACACTGCTCAAATTATGGTATCCAGGAAATTGGAACTGTTGGTGAAGACAACATGATGATTCTGCCCTGGAATTTTTTTGCCGGTGACTTCACTGGAAGCAGGATCAAGGTTTAAGTGAGAGGAGCCAGTAAACACTCATGGAATGTGAAGTGTATGAGGATACTTTCACAGGTAGTCCGTATTTGTATGTGTAGGGCGTCTTTTCCTAGCCTCTGGAATAAATTCCGGTTCATAGCTTCAGGGCCACTGGTGATCCAGTCCTGCTTCCAGCAGAGCACAAGCCTACGGTATGTTCCTGTTCCGAGCATGTAGTAAGATACCTTCTCATTGTTGCTTTGCTGCTTTGGTTGGACGATGCATACCATACCATATATTGCTTTACATCATGTCCAGCTGTCAGATCACACTGATTTTATTGACATATTTGAAGAGACAGGTAGAGAATAAATAAAAAGAGGTTTAGGTCCCTGCCTGCAGTTCACGAGATGATAGAATTTTGATCTGACAGCTTCAGCCAGTTGAAATGTTTACACTGAAAGCACTTCAGGTTGCAAGCACTTCAGGTCTGTTGCTTCAGCATAACTTGACTCCTGAAGCTAACATCTGTGCTTGCAATCACCTTGGATGTCTGTCGGTCTTTTTCCTTCAATCCATTCACAGAAATAAACGTATGGGCTGTCATTTCTGTGAATGGAGGTTGTAGCGAAATACCCTTTACCGCCCTCAAGTGGTCCTCAAATGGATTGATGAAATTAGGAAAAGAAGGCAAAACACTCATCAGTCGGGAAACACCACCAGTTATAGCTAAACAAAGACAACAGTACAGAATGAAAAAGATGACTAAGAGAAATAAAGACCCGTAAATGCGCAGACTTTGTAGGGTGAAAGTGTAGAGTGTTCACATGTGAAGTCTGATCAGAAAGTTTGCTTAATTCAGTGCTTTAAACCTGTGATTTAATAGTTGCTTAGCAACACAGGACAAAAACTGCAACAGATCCAAAACAACTCTACACCAATGCTGTAGACTGAAACTCCACACCAATGCTGTAGACTGAAAATTCCAGTTGGCACAGGAGATTATTTTACTTCAGGAGAACATGTATTACTTTGGAACAGTTAGTACAAATACACAGAGATGGTCCATATGGTACTGTAGGTACAGATACTGAAATTAGAACTATTTATAGATAAATTAAATTCTGCAGCCTCCCAAACCATTTTAACACTATTAAAATTGATACTGTCTGTAAATATGTTGGCTAATAACTATATTTTTTTTTCTGCAAGAAACTTCACAATTTTTAAATAAGGCATTAAGTTCTGAGAGTGATGGTGGAAAACTCAAGATAATTAGCATATAGTGTGATTTAAAAGAAAGAGGGAGCTCTCTCGATTTGCTGTAATTGTGCACAACATCCCTTTGTTGAAAATGAGCCATTGCTTCTCTGGTGGCCAAAATATGATGCTCAGTGGAGTCTTATGCTCGCACAAGGTGATACTTACATTGGTAGAGCAAGGAAGACTTGCAGTTTATCCCGGGCATCTCAGAGAGGTGGTGCTGGAGACCTGATGAAGGTGAAAAGAAACTGTATCACCTTGAGCAAGTTGTTCAGTTTGGCTGTTGTGTTCCTGTATCATCTCACGCATGGATCTGCAAGCTGGTTGGAATCATGAGTATGTACGCCTTGTAAGCCTTATTTTATCCATAGTATGTCCAAAATGCTGCCTGCTGCGAGGTTTACAGCAGTCGTCATTGGCTTCCTTGGACTCTTTTCAGGGTCAGCCAGGTGAGCTAGGAGCTCAAGGTCCGATTGGCTCCTTGGGATCTACAGGACCAGCTGGTCTGCCAGGAGAAAAAGGACGGAGAGGTGAGAATGGGCAGCCTGGGCCAGCTGGAGAAAAAGGTGATAAGGTAAGAACCACCACAGACAGCTCTTTTCGGTGTGTACAGGATGTAATGTTAAATATTGGCAAGTGAAACAGAACCTCAGGAATCGAAAAGCATTTGCCAAACTATACTCTTGCTCACACAAATTCTCACTGAAATTAATCACAGCTTTCTTTGAAAAAAATACTTCAGGGGATTTTTGCTGTGGATTGCAAAACTAGAATTGTCAGAAGACGTAAAACAAAATGAAACAGACCCAGTCTCCAATTGTTGTATGCCATGTCATCCTCCTTAACCTCAGAGAGGGCTGTGGGAGGAATGTGGAGCTGGAGGGAGGAGCATGGCGCTTTAAAAGTGCTGTACGCTAAGCAGAATGTTATTACCACTTGTGGAGTAAAAACTGCCGTTCGGGTCCATATCTTTCACAGCTGTATAATCCCTGTGCTTGGCTCTTGGTGCTTTATATTAATTTTAGTGGTCTAATTCCACTGATCTCAGCGGGTGACTGAAATCACTAATTTAAGTATCTAGCACATCTGAAATGTAAGCCCTGGAAATAGATACTGTGCTGCTGGTATTACCAAAACAAGAGCAACATTTTGAAATTACATACAGAATTATTTCATTACTTTATAGGCAACTTCCCCTTCTCTGTCATTGTATAATCTTGGCAGAATGAATGACTATGAGAGTTAGACACTTGTACCTGAAGTGTACCATCTGTTCAATGGGTAGGTGTTGGCACTAGTCTCCTGCTAAGCCCATATATCTTTTTTTCAGACACTTCTTACGGCTTCTGATTCATGTTTCAAACAAGACTGTTTGTTGTTTCTCACAAAATAGTATTACATACTCTTTTTTATCCTTTTTAAGAATTAATGACCTCGGCAACTTTGTTTTTTCATGTCACCTGTTTTAGGGCCCAACTGGAGTCCCAGGATTTCCTGGTTTAGATGGTGTTCCTGTACGTATTGAATGAATATTGCTTTATAAAAATTACAGTTTCTATAAAGTCATAGCAAGTCTTCTAATAGAATAATACACTCAACACATTGCTTGGCATTACACCTATTGATATTGTGTCACTTACAGAATTACATGTTTTGCGAAAATGTAAAATAGTCAGGGGTTAACTTCAACTGTGTTTACTGTTGATTACAAGTCCACAAAATCCTAATGAGGTAAGTACATAATTTTCATGCAGGAGTGGGGCAGTGAGGAAAGATCCCATCCCATGTCCATGCAGCATCTGTCAGTGCTGGGATAAAACTGTTTGTTTTCTCTGTCTCTACAGCAGGCTGTAGTCTGCTTGCTGCAGTCTTAACATCCCTGAAAGTACCTCAGATGAGGTACTGTTTTCTGTTCAAACATTCTGATTTTTTTCTTGTACTCCATTTGAAGGAAATAAAGCAACCGCTGAGTCCAGTGATTTTAACCTGCATAGGGACTGAAGAAGGGTGTCCTAAATAGATCTTTATTAGCATGTGATTATGTATTTTTCTGAATGTATTCTTCAGTGTGGAAATGGGTGTGGTAAAAGAAAGATAATCTCTCTTACATACAGTATTTTGAAAAATGCTGTTATTAGCACTGAATTCCTATGCTGTTATTAGTTTCAGATGGATCAAACAAGGTTCAAACATTGAATATTGAAAGTGAAAACAGAACCAAAAGCTGAGTGGGTGTCTTAGCATGTGCTTGTCAGCTGTCCACGCTTGACAATGGGACGCTTGCCACAATGTCTGTAAAATGCAGAGGTCACAAGGCCAAAATTTAGCACAAGAAAGAAGCACTCCCCTGGAATGTATATTCTTTTTTTATGAAAAAGTTAATTAAAAAACAGTGTCCACGAATTTGGTTAAAGAATCTTAAAGATAAGAAGATAATTGACAAAAAAAATTCAGAAAAATGGCCAGGATAATTTCCTGATGAATTTAAGAATCCAAACTCAAATTTTCGGAGGTTCAGAATTGCTGTCTGTTCCTCATAAAAATGTTTAATTCTGTGAAAATGATTTTTCCTCCAATGGAAAGATCATTCCAAGAGAAATCTCACTGTTTCTATTGCCTAGTGTCTAATCTGCAGTAGAACTACCCCCCGTCTGGACACTGGTAATTCTTGTTGGGTTAAAAAAATCACTCCTCAGTTCTTGAATGTAGGGTCATAATCTCTGCAATTACTGTGTCCTTGAGTCAAGCTGTATACTGGCTTTTCTTTATTTTATCCTATCAATCAAAAAATATGAGCCTGCTTGAGATGACTTTTGTGTATGTCTTCAGCTTTTCTATACAGCCACAAGAAAGATTATAGTTAGAAGGCTAGAGTTTGCTTTCTGAGAAGACAGCATGCTACTTTTTGACTCAAGTGAGGCGTCAGTCTAGCCCTCTTAACCAGCCCTGTCCCTGTTATATTTGCTATACATCAAAGAACAAGAAATTAAATACTTAATATCTTTTGTTATACACCAAAAAACATCTTTTGATCACAACAGTATGAAGCAGGGACCATGGTTGAGATGTTCTCTGTTTCAGATCTAGGATACTTGTTTCTGATCTGTTCCGTTAATTTAAAAAAGTAATTTCCTATTTATCATGGTGTATCTCTAACAAATATTAAACTGTCTTTCAGGGATTACCAGGAAGTGAAGGACCCAGGGGCAAGCCTGGTTTAGACGGCTGTAATGGCTCAAGAGGAGATCCAGGATTCCCAGGCGAAACTGGTTATATTGGACCAAGAGGTCCTTATGTACGTAGAAGACATTCCTACTGTCTATGAATATTGTATATGTGCATCTCCTCTCCAAGCTAACAGCTCTTAAAATGTAAGGAGTTTTAGACTCTGGCACTAGCTTTGCAGTGCATAATGAATTTCCAGGCATTCTTGCTGAGGTTAATTGGAATGAAGGATACTTGATGCCTTAATAGATTAAGTTTAAGCTTGAATGTGAAATAAGTTCCTATATCCTCAAGTACATAGGTCTACCTTGACAGTTAACTTCTGCTTTGTTTCCCCAGTATGTAACCACACCAACGCTAATACCATTTCGTGGAAGGACAGCTGAGAAGGAGTACCCTTAAACCATCGTACCGTTTATCAATACTTGAAATTTCTTGAAAGCCTTAATAGTAGGGACATACCTGAGTTGAGTTAGCAATAAATGGAGGCTTCAACAAGTCTAACTCCTGTAATGCTTGAAGATTGTTGCTGGTTGATCACACAAGTGTATTAGTACATCTCTTCCAAAATCGTGTTCTTAGAGTTTCATGTGCCACCTTTTGCACATACCTATTCATGGCTGCCCCGTGCACCCCTAATTTTGTCTGGGTGTGTAGAGATTCAGTTAAAATGCTTAATATTGTTTACATTTGCTGCTAAAATGGAAAGCATTTTAAACCTGTTTAAATAGTGGTCTTAGCAGCGCTCTTCTCATGAAGGTAAAACACAGATTCATGTCGCTAAGGGATATAAATTGCTGTAGCTCCGAAGAAATTTTGCTGAACAGATCTAGCCCCTGGTCTTTGACTTGCCGTGAAAACAAGTTTTAGTCCTGAATGATTAAAAGCTGATTAGTTGATTGAAAATCTTCCTTGAAATTTTCTAAATAAAGCAGTAAACCCAACTGCCATTGCATGAAAAGTCAAATGTGTTTAGTAGGAGCTATGTAAGATGCTGATTCTGCCACAGGGCATCAAAAAATGTGCAGTGGGTGCCAGAGCGAAAAGACAGCAATTAGAAAAAGCATACAGCTTCAGTCTTGGACCTGTCAATACATGCTGTGGAATACACAACCTGATAAAAAACTTGATAATAACCCCATTTGTTATACCTTTCGAAGTAACCCATTAACCCTTCAAATGACTTCTGCTCAAACTCTTTAATTTCACCTGTATTTTCTTACTTACTGTGGTTTTAAAATAGAGTTTTGCCCTTTACAGTTAGCCAGCTGACAAAGGAAAAATGAGACATGGGACAAATTACAGCATAAATCCTCCCAATTCCAGGACCATGCTCGTTGGCAGGCCCAGAAAAGTATTTGCAACCTAAAAAGAATGGGAGACACAATAGGCATGTAGCCTTGGATATGCACACTGAAATTCCAGTCCAAATTAATTCAGCTACCCAGCAAAACAAGACATAGTAACCATATTTGCTTGTGTACAAGAATTCTGTTCCAGCCTCTCTATGCAGATTGCCTATTTTTAAATTAATTTGTTGTGCCAGGTACTAACTTGACTATATATTCCAGCTAACATTTTTGTGTTGTTCCTAATGTTGTCCTGTATAATTTCATTTAACAGCATGTACATATTTGTCAGCTTCACTCTTGTTACCTTGTGGATTCTCTACATTTACCTCACCAATAAATTGGAAAAGAAAGCAGTTTCTGTTTGTGAGCCCTTACCTAAGTCATGTAGAAGGTAACCAACTGAATCTAATAAAGATGGTTTATTACACAGGAGATCACATGTAAAATAACCAAAGACAAAAACAACTTCTGATGTGTTTAATGTGTTCCTTAGCAGCTGCTCTTTGACCTTTAATCTGCCATAGCTATATCCAGCTGCAGGCAGCTGTAACTCTTCTTTTTGTTATACCATTCCAGGGATCGGGACTTTCCCCTTTTCATTCTGACTTCAGGATTTGAACAGCCAGTGTATAATATCAGGAAGCCAGTGCAATTTTAAAGCTGTTAAATTTTGTGAAAAAGAGCATCCCATTTTATTGAAATCAGTAGTTAAGTGGATATAGGCTTCAGTTAAATTACATCCGGTATGTTTGGATTTCAAATGAGAAAACTTCAGAAATAACATTGTAAAATATCTGTTCTTCACATACGTACCTATCATGCTCTTAGCAGTCAATTAAGCATTACAATTAAGTTTTGAAAAAGCAATTTAAGTCAGATTGAGGTTTTGTGGGTGCTAAAGTTGGCCAAGTTTTATAAAACGACTCCACAGCAAGTACCATGGGAACTTAACTTAAAAAAAAAAACAGGCCTCTGGGCATCAGATATTTTTTTAATAGACTGTGAAACGTATTTCCTAATAGATGGAAATGTTGAAAATTATGAACGTAACACGGTGCATACTTTTAGCTTTTCAACTGTATGCAGAGTCACACTGGGTTCTTCTCTGTCACAGCATGAACTTTCGGACAAGGCAGAGTGCTAATAGTTGAAGCCACTGTCTCACTCAGAGAAGAGGTAGGCTTGTGGATATGCTTGATACTAAGGACAAGGTTTGTGAAGATTGTGGATTTTTGAAGTACCCAAGAGCATCTAACGGAAGCTGTGAGGAGCTGTTTTGCTCATCTGGCAATTTTACTTTTAAGGATTGTGTCAGATAAAAGCACTGCGAAATACTCATGCAATGATGGTTCTAGTGGATCACCTGGTGATGTATAGGCACCAGGAAAGCATAGCCTGAGAAATTATCATTCAGTCTCCATAGAAATTAAGGACATCAGTGAGTGTATCATGTTTTAAAGGTTTTTTTTTCTTTAAAGGGAAACCCGGGGCAAAAAGGAGAAAAAGGAAATTCAGCCTATGTTTCACATTTCGGAAAAGGACCTCCAGTAAGTATCTGATTGTGAGATAAATCGTATCTTGTAGGAAAAGATGTCTGGCAAATGTAATTGTTCTCATAACTCCTCACTGTTTAATAAGGCTTGGTACAAAAAAGCTTAAAAGCAAATACACAACTGGAACAGAGAGTTTGTCATCTTAATAACTAGACAGTTAGAAAATCATAGAATCATAGAATCCTAGAATGGTTTGGGTTGGAAGGGACCGTAAAGACCATCTAGTTCCAACCCCCCTGCCATGGGCAGGGACACCTTCCACTAGACCAGGTTGCTCCAAGCCTCATCCAGCCTGGCCTTGGACCCTTCCAGGGATGGGGCATCCACAGCTTCTCTGGGAACCTGTCCCAGTGCCTCACGACCCTCTCCAGGAAGAATTTCTTCCTGATATCCAATCTAAACCTCCCCACTTTCAATTTAAACCCGTTACCCCTTGTCCTGTCACTACAGGCCCTTGTAAAAAGTCCCCCCCAGCTTCCTTGTAGCCCCTTCAGGTACTGGAAATACTCACAACAAAGCATGTAACAATTCATTTGCTAAATGACTGTCATTACAGGGAGACAGAGGTGATCCTGGACCCCCCGGCATGCCTGTAAGTACATTCAGTGGGTTCTGAATGCTTTTTATCTTGAAGATCTTTCAAATTTTCTTTCTTACTACAGTAGAGTAATACTGGGGTTTCTCCCTGCCTGCCTTAAATAGCAAAATTCCAGAATAAAGCCTCACAAACACTGAGTCTCTGTGGTCTGCCCCTATGATCGGTTCATGCTGCCTGAAGAGGAGCAGCAGAAGCAGACCATGCTCATCTGCATTAGCTGAGCTGTTGTCACCCTGGTACTCACAGTTTGCAGAGTATTTTCTCTGTGAAATTCAAGCCACGTATCAATGTGACACCTGCTTCAGCGTTATCTAGTGGATCTCCCAAGAACATGTAGCACACTACCACATTTTGGCCATAAAAACGTGGGAGAAGGAGAGAGAGTTTAAAAGTATTCTTTCAGTCCATTAATAACATGTAACTGTGCCTTGTCCGGTATATCTACTGAGCTGCCGTAGTGACAGTGAAGTTTCAGACATGGTATGAGCTTCAGGCCATGGGTAGAATGCAGTGGCCAGTAGACAGAGCCCAAGTGTTGCAGGCATTTTGGAGGGACCAGTTTTGTGGAGAGAAGGATAAGTTCTTGGTATTTTCACAAACAGACTTTTTGCCGTCTTTTCCAGGGACCTAGAGGGTCGAGAGGTACAACGGGCCCATCTGGATACCCAGGCCAACCAGGCTTGCCTGTAAGATCACTGCAGTTACAACAGAATCACGGCATGGTTTGGGTTGGAAGGGACCTTACAGACCATCCAGTTCCAACCCCCCTGCCATGGGCAGGGACCCCTTCCACTAGACCAGGTTGCTCCAAGCCTCATCCAGCCTGGCCTTGAACCCTTCCAGGGATGGGGCATCCACACCTTCTCTGGGCACCCTGTCCCAGTGCCTCTCCACCCTCTCCAGGAAGAATTTCTTCCGGATATCCAAGCTAAATCACCGCCCTTTCAATTTAAACCCGTTACCCCTTGTCCTGTCACTACAGGCCCTTGTAAAAGGTCCCACCCAGCTTCCTTGTAGCCCCTTCAGGTACTGGAAGGTGCTATAAAGTCTCCCCGGAGCCTTCTCTGCTCCAGGCTGAACAAGCCCAACTCTCTCAGCCTGTCCCCATAGCAGAGGGGCTCCAGCCCTCTGAGCATCTCCATGGGCTCCTCTGGACTCGGCCCAACCAGTTGATACCCTTCTGATGTTGGGGGCCCCAGAGCTGGAAGCAGTAATACACAGCCTTGTATTTTCAGGATATACATAAATTCTGGTCTATCCATTTAAGAACTTGCCTTAATATGAATCAAAACCTAGGAATAATTTTTGAGGCAGATGATTAAAAGATAATATTTTTGCCTTACCTTATGAGTTTGGATGTTCAGGCTATGTTGTTCCTTCCCACGCCTGTGTGAACATGTTTCATCCTGGCAGTCTGTGGTCACGGAGGAATGCTGCTAGTGCTGTCTCCTTATTCCCTGTCCCCAAGGCCACCTTGTGGGAGACAGGAAAGTGTGAAACCAGAGTTCAGCCCTCCTGAAAGATGTGACCAGGTGAAGTAAATTGCATTTTGGGACAGGTACATCCCAAGGAGATTCTCCCTCTAAGTGCTACTGGCAAGAGGAGGTAATTTTCAAAGCAAAGCTGTCTCCAGGCATATTAACTTGTCTTCATTCTCTTTTAAAGGGTGTTCCAGGTTACCCTGGTTTGCCAGGTGAACAGGTAGGCAGTAACTTTTCCTGAAGTTGTTAGTGAAATAATAATTTATACAAAGATTTGAAATCTCCCTTATGGGTATTTGTTACCATGTTTTTCAAAGGAGTTACTTGATTAAATCGTAGTGTCAGCATTTTCTGATTATCTTCCAACTGTGTACATTTTTTGTCAATTAGGGAAATCCAGGTATTGGAGTGGATGGACAAAAGGGGGAGCCGGTAAGAAAACAAATACTATTAAATATATTACTGCTGTAGAAGTACAGAGTGTCTTGTTGGGTTCCCTAGAACCCATGCAGTTGTGACTGCATGCTCCCATTAATCATGTTAGAATGGAAGAAGTAATCAAAGTTAATTCTGTACAGAAGTGATTACTTCAGTGAGCTGCATACAGGAATCAAGCTTATTCTGGCAGCTTTGGAAAGCAACAGTCAGTACGTTAGTTAGCACTGACATAGCAATTACCTTCTGTACAGCCACTGCCTAAGTAACAACATTGCCTTCCAGTAACAGTGCCTGTACCAGACCAGTCACTGAATCTCATCTCTTGCTGTGTCCAGCCACAGATGCCAAGGGTGTAAGAAAAAGACAAGCACATAATAATAGCTCCCCTCCCAGTCTCCACCTGTTAGTGCACTCAGGATTTAGAGAACCAATGTGGAATATTTGATTTTTCCTCTATGAATTTGCACTTCTTAGAATTCTTGCAAGTTTCTAACAAGCACAACTTTCCATAGCAAATCAATAATTTCATCTTTACCTTCACAAAGCCCTGTGCTCAAAGGCTTCGGTCTGGAACACAAGAGACTCTGTGTACACACGAGAGATTTGACAATCCTGTAACTATCTCCACATCAGACTCGGAGCAGGAGCCATGGGTACAGACATAACAGTGTTTTTAGTGACCGAGGAGAATAGGAGGAGATTAAGATCGTCAGCCTTGCTCATCTGGGCAGGTGGTAGAGAGGCTTACAAACCTGAATTTATCTGTGGGTATTAGTACAAGCACATGTTCAATGAGTACAGAAATAGTGCAGTAGTACAACAGGAAAACATGCTGAGTCTCACTGAAACGCTGCATGGAACAGAACGTCTCTCTGCTGCTCCTTTGGCTTCCACAGGGCGACGTCGGACTTCCTGGGCCACCTGGGTCACCACTGTTAGTTGGACCTCCTGGAGCTCAGCTGTTCAAAGGAGAAAAGGTGTTAATTTGTCTTCATATTTAACTGTGCTCAACTTGGCAAGTACAATCCTGTGATGCAATTTTTTCATGGCTGGCATAGGACAAATCTTTCTTTCTGTAATAAACCATCAGCTTTAGCAGAAATCCTGTTGTTTACCACCCTTCCTACAGGCTTTCAGGAGAGGAGAGCCCATGTGTACTTTAGCTCATGTCCTTGAGGGAAGACTCTCTTGGTGCAGAAAGGAGATACTGCCCTTGCTTTGGTTTTCTTCGCTTTTTGTCATTAGCAAGTCGTATTTGAGGCATATTTGGTTACTCTGGTATTGAATCTTTTTTGTGGCTCTTCACTGACACATTTGTTTTTCAGGTCTTCGGCAATTTTTGAGATTTCTCCAATATGATGTTTAGAACTATCACCCCTAACTCTTCTAGGGTGTTCTTTTAATAGGAAAACTGTGATTTGATGTCTGCTTTTAGTACAAGATCCTGTTATTTACTGTACTTCTTCAATATCACACCTACTGCAGCCACAGTTGTGTATCTTAAAACATTAGAATGTTTAAGCAGGAGTTAGAAAAATTGCATTATGGAGCCCTATATTGAGTCTCCATGTCCTGAAGTTTGATTTGCTGGAATGCACACATGAAAAGGTAAATTTGGCAGTGCCAGCACCTGCAGCTTCAACTCAGGGAACCAATAGATTTGGATCTTAGGCTTCGTTTATGCAAATGGTTGCTGTGTGCAGGTGTGCAAGGAAGAGAGAAAGGACCAAAAGAACTTATAGAAGCTCCCCATGTTGTGCAAAGTGTGGCATGTGCTGCTGTGTAACACATGACATGATCATGACCATGTCATGCATGTTTGTAGGAACAGAGCCCAATTAGCAGGTCCCTGCAAGTGAGAGAGAGACATCTATCTCACTCGACAGTTATTATGCTGGTTTGACAGCGTTAACAGAAATAAAAATCACTACATAATAGTGTTTCTTTTTTTTCTTCTGCCTAGTACTCCTAGAGGAACAGGCCCAGTGCTTAAGGAAATAACTATTTAAGAACTGTAATTCAGAACAGGACTTAAAAAACTTAAAACAGCACATAAGCATATCCTACATACTAATATAAACAAACACTTTCCTTGTATATGTAGGGCCAGAAAGGACTGCCTGGGGCAACAGGATACAGAGGGCCACGTGGACCCAAAGTAAGTCATGTGATTATTTTTTTTCGTAGTGATGGCTAGGGCTTTTTTGTTTAAGTCCTTCTGTGGTTATTAAGTTAATCTTTCAAAGCACAAGGTGCTTGACAAAGTAACAGCATTTGTGCTGTGAAATTTAATCACCATCTAAATCAGGGTGAAAACAAAAATGGTTCAAAACCACTTGGACTACTGACACATAACAGACTGAGACTGTGAAGAAAACAAAGGCACAGATTATTTTTTCTCAAAAAGAGAAATGGAGAAGATCTGTATGTGTTCTTACTGGGGCGTGATACATGTTTCCCTAAGTATGGTATGGAAAGACCTGAACTTCACATTTTGGATATCCTCAAGAGCAGAGAAGGCAGAGCCACCCATCTAGAGGAAGAGTTGCTCTTTGCTATCTATTCTGCATTTTCTTTTCGTTCTGTCAGCATGGTTGAACATCAGTGTGCCAGTAAGGAGTTCCTGGATGCTGAGCAGAAGCATCCACAAAAAAGATTGTGAGTCTTCATTTCTGATAGGTTTGGAGGAGGAAAATCCACAGACAGGAAACTACTGGATCTCAGAAAAACAGAAGATAAGTGTGGACAAAAAATGAGTCTAGTTTATGTTAAAAACCGATTTAGCTTTGTAGGCGGAAGAGAAGAAACGAGAAGCCTGATCATCACATTTCTGTGTTCTAAGCCTAGCACTTTTTCAGAAGTTCATTTTCCATCATAACAGGACCACTGTTACTTAGCACTGGAAAAGGAGACACAACTGGTCTTTTTAGATCAGATTTACTTGGAAAAAAATGGGCTTTTTATGCTTGCTCCACTACTGGCTGTTCATGTAGATATTAGTACACTTGTTAGCTATAAGCAGGAACCGAGAAACTGACTGATGCAGCCCAAAAGATGCCCAGAGCTTTCAAACGAACAAGCAGCCAACCTGCTGAAAGCATGTTAAGCTTGGAGACCAAAGCAGGTTTTGTGACTAGCGGAAGCTACGTAGGCACTGCTGGTGGTGCTGTATGAATCAAGCCCCAGCGATTGAGCCTAGCAAATGAAACAAGAGCCATTAACCTAATATATACATGACTTAATAAACATGCACAAAAATTGAAATTTACAGCAAACCTCACTGAGCATCTTGTTTAAACAAAGTATTTTGAATGCACCAGGGTATACTTGGGAGAGGAGAAAAGGGTGAAAAAGGCGTTCCTGGATTCCCTGGATTGCGGGTAAGCTGCAAAATAAATTACTTCACAAATTCACTATAACGAGGTTCATAATATATTTGGCAGTTAGTTTGCATTTCCAAGGAAAATTTTAGGAATCTTTTAAACTAATATGTCACACATTCTGTGCAGAATATTTAGGAGTCCTGCCCTGGGACTCACCCTGTCTCAGCCTTAAACATACGCTCATACAGACTTTCTGTCCTTAGACAGTAAATCTGTAGGGTTAAACATTTAGAGCTGCACAGAGCTTCTCAGGACTAGTACAGTACTAACACTGTAATTTTCATGTACTCCATTCATGCTGATGGTAATTTTTTACAGCAGCTTGTGCTTGATTTGCATAACAGTGCTCACATGCAGCAACATGTCCAGTACTGTGCTTGGTGCAATAGGATAAAAAAATTAAGTAAGGACCAGTCTGGCTTACATTGGTCTACAGCTCAAATTCATGCACATCTCTCATCTAAAGTATTTGCAAAAACTTTGCAAAGTTTTTGGGAGATCTTCCAAGTAATAATCACCTAAGGAACATCAGCTGCTCAGCCATTTTGAATAGGTGTAGTTTTTAATAAGCTTTTACTGTTTTGGCTCACATTCTACTTGCTTTTTTTCAGGGTAATCCTGGTTCTTATGGACCTGCAGGATTTCCTGGAATGAAGGTAAGAAGAAAAAAGTATAAGCAGCTCCCTGAACAGTGAGATCAGTTGAGATCTGGAGTTTCCACATACTTGATAGCTCACATTGCGTTCCTTCCCTTCTCTCCTGCTTCCTGTTGCCACAGAAGTTGTATGAACTCTTTGTCTTTGAGCTTCTGCCACACTCCGAAATTTGGCTGAAATCAGCTAACGGAGTCTGAAGTTGCAAGCAGGAGGAAAAGCCAGTGGGACATGCATAGAGCATGATAGAAAAGTTCCGCAGCATGTTAACTTTGTTTGCCATGGTGACATTGTTTGTGTAATTCTGTGTTATATGCATTTTTTGTTCATCTTCCTGGCTCAAGAAATTCCAGTTTTGCGGTTAAGTGTGCTTAATGTTAGTTATGAACGTGGAACATCTTACTGGAGTAAGGAACAACAGATGTGGGTATATAGATCTACATCTTGCCCTTTCTCCTGTCTCCTCTTCCCAGCTCATGTTCAAATCTAGTTAAGGTAACGATCATGCTATTCATAAATCATGTTACCATACAGATATTTGCATCTAGAGTTATGTCCCAGGTGACTGTTTTATTTGCAAAATTACTTTTTACTTTATTTTTTACCACTGCCTCCATAGAGAGTTTGAATACTGGATGGATGAGCAGATCAGCAGGTCACGAGGAGAGGAGGAGCTGCTTTTTTTTTTAGAGGGTCGTTCAGCAGGCAGCAGAGCAATTTCAGCTGTATTAAGCAGAGAGTCTGATAGAGTCTGCTGGTATGTATTCCAGCTAGTTCTGTGCCCCAGCTACACCAAATCTGCTGACTACTGTCTAAATAACCTGGCCATACATGTGGGGTTTTTTAACAGGAGAGATTCTATGAAGCATCTACGCCATCTCTTGTACAAACCCAGGGAGTTCCCTGAAACGAACTGCAGATGCTATTATAACACAACAGCGTATGGCTGCCTCACTGGGTTTTGTTCAATTAATTATATTAATGTCTTAACGATTAATCAAATTATGTTTGTGTGATGCTTTCCAGGGGGAAACAGGATTTGCAGGTTTTCCTGGACAACCTGGATATCCAGGCATACAGGTAAAAATAACCAACAAACACACATGCATGCACACACATTATACGGTCATATTTACTTCTAGGATTTACTCTTTTCATGCTAGTCATATGGTTACTCAACAATGTGGTAGTATGCAACAATGCAAGTAAACGTTCCTGCTCGGTGCATCTGAGAGTGGAAATTCCATTCTGCGCACCGTAGGAACTGGTTGATCCCAATTGCCAAGAGTTACCTTTAACTACACCAGTATAGCTATCTAATCCATGACTTGTAGTACTCTGCAAGTTATTCCTGGTTGAGCTGCATTCCCCAGAGAGGGATGTTAGGTAAAGGAACCTGCTATTTAAGCAACAGTACAGTCCTAGAAACTTTGATCTATGAACTAGTAGGATAATTGGCACCAAATGAGGTGGCAAAATTAGACTCAGATGGGCTTGTGCACATGATTTACCAAATCTCTTTGCATGTGTTCAACGTGTTCACATAAGTAGCTTTTCCAAGATGCTTACCGGGATGAAGATTGGACTCCTTCACACCTACTTTTGGCCACTTAGATGACACCAGCCATTTTTGTTTATTTTACAATACATACTGCTTCCTATTAGGGATTAGAAGTGTAAGTGTCACATCCAGGGAGCTAGGCAGTAAAAGAGGAGAATGTTCATCTGAAAAGCATGGAAAAAATGCTTAATACAATTTCAGAAAACACAGGTGCCAGTCGAGTGACATTTCAGGATATAAATTTATGGAATTCTATTCTTCAGGCTGCAGAAGCAATGATCATATTGTAACTCTGTCTTAGAACAAAACCTTGAATGAAGAGAACTACTAGGTTTTCTGTGGAATCTACAATGCTAAAGAACATTCAGAATGAAAAGCTGGTTCTGGATGCTACTCTAGGAGGAGCAAAGCAGGAGTGAGTCTAGCCAGGGGAAAGGTCTAGGAAGTCACTGGGATAGGGTCCAAATGGTCAGCGGTGTATGAGCAAGAGAAGTGGAAGGCTTCAACAAAGAAGGTGAGTGACAGGATCTGCAAAGACAGCAAGGTTGAAAAAGCTCATCATCAAAGTTATTACCCCAGTACAGAGGAGGACAAAAACAGTATTGCAGAAATTGTGACTCTAGTGAACTTGGCTCTAAATACCTTGGAATACAGACATCAAGAAGTGTTTATTTCCCTCCGAAATAATCTTTTTGGAAAGCTGTATATAAAACAGTAACTCTTCTTGAAGCACCACTAGTTGCACCTGGGAAATCAGGAATGACATGCAAGATTTGAGCAAGAATCACCTCTGTTGGCAATTGAAGGTTAAAATTGGAACACATTCTGTGTGATGGGTGATGACAAAAGGAAGTAAACTGTGTCTGGTCCAAACTTGCCCTAAGTAGTATTCTGTTAAAGGCACAGTTGAAAGCAGACAAATACAAAGCAACCAAGAGGATTTCAAGAAGCAGGTTTACGAATGAGAAGTGACAAACACAAAGGAGAAGCACCATAAAAATATCCATTTTAGTTACTTGTTTCAAAGTTAGGACTGCCAGGGGAGTGCTAGATCAGCTTCTTCAGTCAAGATTCATTTATGTAGTCATACCTGGGAGGGGAACACCCATGGATATTAATTTTTCTCCCATATGCCTATTCTCAGCTTCACAACAATGTGGGCTCATTTAGATAATAATTAGAAAACTTGCATGTCTTTTTTAAACAGAAATTCATTACAGTCCATTACTTCCCAGAAGCAGAGTCAAACCTTAGGTGGTTTGTTACTGAAAAGTGCTCACCCCGATGTGCACAGTGTTTTAGCTTACTAATGTTGTAGCTACTTAACGTAGCTTCACCATTAACAAACTTGAGACAAGACGTTGTGTGGACAGAACAGTACGTTCTTCAGTCTCCATTGATTAGCCCGCAGGACGAGAAGCCATCAATTATCACTACAACCAGCAAGCAAAAAATAATTAATTGCTGGTAGAATATGCTAGGGAAGTGTTTGAATGCATGCTGTAATGATTTGGAAGGAAGAAATTACAGTTGTGAACTCATGGAGCAAAAGAAAACTAATCAAGTGTAGGCAGAACTTTAAAAAAGGTTAACTTATACAGATAAGCGAAATTTGGGATGATTGCACAGATGCTGTTCTTTTGCTTGGGAAACAGCTGGGTAAATCTGATTATTCCTTAAAAGTGCAAATCTATCTGGACTGCATCAACTCTTCATCTGGCCTCACCAGGCGTTGCTCGTGATCTGCTGAAAATCACGTAAACTGGAGGAACAAGAACATGATAAAAAACCCTCCTGAGAAGAGCTCGTCCTCACATAGATTTTTCTGAAATAAACAGGCTCAAAGAGAATCTAAGATGCATTCAGATTTAAGAGAAAGAAAGAGACTCAGAAAAAAACAGCTGCATTCAAAGTAGATTTCATCTTTAAAACACGTTCACCGTTGCTTAAAGAAAAGAATGGACTTCCAGGGGTTGTCAGCCTACCTTTGGATCCCTAAGTCTGGAGTTTGGCAACACCGTGTGGATCTTCAACATGAGCCAGCAGCATGCCCTTGCTGCAGAGGCGGCTAACAGCATCCTGGGCTGCACGAGGAGAAGTATTGCCAGCAGGCTGGGGGAGCTGGTCCTTGCCCTCGACTCAGCGCTGGTCTCCGTCCTTGCAGATATTCTCAAGCTGTCTGGACACGGTGCTGGGCAACCAGCTGTAGGGGTCCTGCTCGAGCGGGGGGGTCAGACAAGATGACTTCCAGACATCCCTTCTAACTTCAACCTTTCTGTGATAAACACAAAAAACCACAGAATGCCTTCTTTAGATAAAATCCAAGGGCAGATAGG